CCAATTAGCTTTTCTTTTGTTCCCTATGTACCTAAAGCAGGACTTGTTGTTGTCCTTGATTCCCATTGCTAATCTAAGTTCAGTCACTGCTTTAGTCTTTCTAATTTGTTCCCTACAAGTGTGGGCCATTGTTTTATAGTCCTCCTTGGGGCCTGTCACTAGCTTCCATTGTTTGTACACCTCTCTCTTCTTTCTAAGAAGGACCATGATTTCCCTGTTTAGCCAAGAGGGCTTCCCAGCCCTTCTGCTACCCTTTCTTTGCATGAGAATGGACTTCCTTTGTGCTTCAAGGGTCGTGTCCTTAAGGAGTGACCACTCTTCATGCACACCTTTTGCCTTTGGTCCCTGGTCCCACAGCACTTGCCCTACTAGTGACCTGAGCTTGTTGAAATAAATTAAAAAAGAAAACTTAGAAGGGAATTCCAGGGATGGCTTTGAAGTGAATGCAGTATCGGTGAGGGTTCTCCAGGTGAAAGACTTGTTCACTGCTTGACCCAGTTTCACTTTCAGGTCAGCATCCTGCATACCAAATGAGGGTAGCATTTTATTGTGTGTGGTAGGGGAAGAGCATGATCGTGCAGTGAAAGACTATATGTGCATTAGGACTGTGTGAAGCTTTGGTTCCTGATTCGATTTGGCAGCTGAATCTCCGAATCCGAACCAAATCAGGAAACCCTTTAACCTCTTTGAATCGAATTGGAATACTCTGAATTGATTTGGAGAGATTTGATGATTTGGACACAGAAACAGCTTTACATGTTTTTTCTACATACCTCAAGGTACCAGGTGGCTCATGAACACTTAGATGCTGGGGCAGATGGAGCATTCCACAGGAGTGTGGGGGGGCCCAGCGCACTCAGTGGCAGACCCAGAAGTGGACCAGAGGCACTTCCAGTCCACTTCCAGGTCCACCACAGACCATGTGGGGGACCCCTGCCCTGCCCCCCGGCTTGGCGACTGGTGCCTCTTGGATCTGGGGGGGAACCTGGGGTCCCCCTGTGGCCAGTCATCAAGCTGGGGGGTGGTCCCAAGCATGCTTGGTGAGGGACCTGAAAGTGGACTGGAAGTACTTCTGGTCCACTTCTGGGTCTGCTGCCGAGCATGTGGGGGCCCCCCCGTGCTCCTTTGAGACACTCCATCCATCCCACCATCTCAGTATTTACGATCCATGCCTGGTATGTCAAGATATGTAGAAAAAACATTTAAAGCTGTGTTTATGGCAGAATTGCTGATTCTCCAAATCAGCATCGAATCTTCAGATTTGGATTTGGCCGAATCGAATTGGGACTGTGATTCAAATCAACAAATTGAATCGCTGTCCCCCAATTCAGGCAGAATCTGAATCGAATACGGCCTGCTTTGCACATCCCTAATGTGCATGTGTATTGTAGAAGGCCTTTAGGTTAGGGCACTACTTCAGTTTTCTCTCCCTGCCCAAGTTACCAGATGTCAACTAGGTGTTTTCTGGATAACCCTCCAATTTAACGAATCTGGTTTACTGATATAAAGTTCAAAACAACAGTCTTTCTCACTGGCTTACATACTGTCACAGGGGTTTTGGTGGTCTCCTTGTTGAAGCTTTCCCTCTGGCAGGCTTCTGCTCACTGTAGGTTTTAGTCCTAGGCCTTCCATCTCGGGGCTTTGTAGAGTTACTCATCCCAGACCTCCTCACAGGCCCTTTTCTGGTTGTTTCTTCTATAGAGTAGCTGTCCTGTTGGGAGGGGTAATCAAATGCCCCAAGTAGGGGAAGAGGCTGCTCCTGGGCACAGGTGAGACTGAACCCCAAATCTCTTCAAGGGGCCTGTTTCCCTGCGATGGAGTGGAATTGAGTTTGCTCAGTCAGTTTTGGTTCTAACTATTGAGAGCTGGGCTTTACAAATTTAGTGATGGAAACAGTTTTAAACCCTAATATTTCAGATTGATTTTCTTCAGCTTGCTCTTGGGGGAGAAAAATACCTGCAGTGTGGAACTGTATGCCATCCAGTATTACCAGCTGGGCTGGAACATTTAAATCCACGACATAGGCACGTTCCACTTGAACTGAGCACTGGTGGTACCATTAAGCTGTTTTACTTTTTGAAGTAGTTATGAGAGTGGGATGAATTGTATATTGTCAGCGGGATTTGTAGATATTTTACAGCAAAGAAATACTGAGATTGAGTATTCCTGGAGTTTTATTCCAGTTTTTTTAGAAGAGTGGGTTTTAAGATGCGCAAAATACTTTCCAGAAATTACAGGTGTTATGCAGCTAGGGATGGACAGTAGGAATTGTTGTTTTTATTTCATAGTTTCAAGGGTCGGAAGGGACCTGAGCAGATCATCTAGTCCGACCCCCTGCCATGGCAGGAAAGAGTACTGGGGTCAAACGACCCCAGCAAGGTGTTCATCTAACCTCCTCTTAAAAACCCCCAGGGTAGGAGCCTGCACCACTTCTCTTGAAAGTTGGTTCCAGACCCTAGCCGCCCTGACCGTGAAGTAGCGCCTCCTGATATCTAACCTGATATTCTCACTTGCTCTGATTTTTGCTTGCTTCTTCCCAGTTGCTTATGAGATGCTTTGTGTTAGTTTTGATTTTAGGATCTTCAGAGAGCTGCTGGGTACTCTCAACCTGCATAGTGAAAGGAGCTCTTTGTTAGGTGCTGTTCCAGAACACATGGAGTGAATAACTGCTTGGGAGACTTGGTGTTATTGTAGTGAAAATAACATCAGTGACCACTTTCAAGCATGAATAAATCATGTGAGGCTCCAAATAAGCATGAGATTGGCTTACAAGCATTTATTCTTGGCAGATAAATACTGGGGTTGTTTTATTATGACAGAACCCTGAGTGTTCAAAATCCAGAAGTATTTCAATCTTTTCTTCACAGCCATAATGGTTTATCATATTTTTTATGAAAGGGGAAGTTTTTAAATAAGTGAGATTTAGGCTCTAAACTAGTTTGAATGGAAGAGTAGTCTGAGGAATTATGGGGGCAGTGAATGTTACGTGACCCAGCATTTGCCTTTTCTTAGGGCAAATGGCTTCTTTGATGGACTGTCAGGAAACCAGTGACATCTTATACAAAGTGCTTGGGGAATAGCTCCTATGCAAACATGGGTAGCAGCCCAGAGTTCCAGGTTTCTGTCCTCTGCTTCTATAGCACTTGGCTAAAGTGCAAGAGCATATGTGTTTCAGGCTCATGCAACTGGAACCCAAATGGTTTGTAACATTGGGGCTGCAATATTACAAACTGCCGAGTAGAAATTGCGGCGGTCAGCGGTCCTGAGCTCCAGTTTAACGGCAACAAGCTTGGACGAACAGGCGGGGGCTAGTGGGGCGGAGATGGCACAGACGCTTGGTTGTTGCAATGCAGTTTTATTACTTATGCCTTTTTGGGAGCGTAGGTCACAGATGCAAGCTGTTGTTACAGAACGAGTAATTGAACCCTAAGTTGAAATAATGACTGACTGACTGAACTAATAGACAAAACAAAGAACGGAACCAGGAGAACGATACCAGTAGAGCGACAGCTGATGAAAGCGAGCATGCAGGGACAGGGTACGCTGGGAATAGTGGTGGTGGAGAGACAGGGTTCACAGGTGGCCGGCCTGTGAACCAGCCCAAGACCTTAGCAGGTCTCTGGTCTCTGAGAGTCTCCTGATTGAAGTTCTCAGGTGATCTCTCTCTCTCTCTCTCTCTCTCTCTCTGGGCTGGTCTCTGCTGTGGGCGGAAACTTACTGGTCTTAAGTATGTTTTAGGTGGCCAATCAGATAGCTCCCCTTTTGGAAAGTTCTAGTCCCTTCTCGTGCATGTCCAGGCATGCGCATGGTGCCAAGTCAGATTACCTCAGTGAACTTTTATGATGGACAAGTGTGGGGTCGAACATGGGGCATGTGCTGGGCGTGCTCACTAGCCCTCTGGGGATTTTCCACTTGTCAGCACATGTCTGTGCTTAACACTGTGTTATCCAGCACCTCGTTCAAATTTGGTTCTGACAGAAATCAGTGCACTATAAATATAGGCAGTCCTCGACTTACCGTGTTTCGACTTACAGCGATTTGCACTTGTGGCGCTCCGCCATTGACTCCCATGTTTTTACTAGTAGCGCTGGATCCTCACACGGCACTACAGGGAAATTTACAATGAGAAAAAGAAGGCAGCAAAACAAACATCCCTGGATCAGTTTCTCAAAAAGCCATCAAGTGGCCCTAAGTCTCCCCAAAATCTCTCCAAAGAAGCCCCTCTGAATTCCATGACCCGAATGAAGGTGTTTTTTCACCTTCTGATTTAAATAAAATTTTATGTCATTAGTTACTGCTTAATCTGTTTACATACAGTACACTTTAGAAAGCTTTGTACTGTACAGTGTGTATCATTTATAGTTGATTAAATAGTTGATTTAAATATGGTGTCTATGGTCATTTCTATAAAAAGTTGGGCATCAGGCCCTTGGTCAGGAGCGTAACCCCCTATTATAACATTGTTTCTATGGGAAAATCAGATTTGACTTGCATCGTTTCGACTTACAGTACCTTTTCCAGGAACATAACCCGCTGTAAGTGCGAGGACTGCCTGTAGCATGTAAAACACCTTAAAAGTAAAATATATAAAAAGATCAGAAGAAAACTGGAGAGAAAAACGTAGTTTAAAAGATGGGACCAGAACCAGAAAAAACGTAGGAGCTCCTGAATTATGTCAAGAATTGTTATGGTTTTTGCTTAAACTTTATTATCTTGCTTTCCAGTTGATAGTTAGAAACTGTTGTTACTAAAATGCTTGGAGTCTCACTCTTCAACACTATCTAGTGACCTGGTTTTGTTTGGAAATTTTCTTCTTTTTTTTGCTAGGGCAGTAATATTTAAATATATATAATTAAGCCATAACGGTTTCCTAGAGATTTATGGAAAGCTTTCTTGAGATGCAACTGCATCTTCTTCAGTATATGAAAGATGGCTAATGGTGATCATTTAATGTATGCATGTATGTGTGTATCCACTAACTTGATCATTTTTGTTTGTAGGAGAGGTCTGCTTACAATTTACATGGCCAATTTGGTGAGTAATCTCTTCTTCCAAAAATAAATTTTATGAGCATGGGAAAACATCTTTTGTTAATTAGTTTATATTTTAGGTTTATTACTTTTAAACCATACAATATTTTCTCTACACTTTCAGATAATGAAGTAATTTTAATGATACAAGTTTGATAATGCCTCTGTAAAAGCAAATATTTTCAGTGAAGACTAAAATTACCCATAGTATTATTATTAGGTTCTCTTCCATTACACCCTCAAAAGAGTGCAATTTTGTATGTTGCATGATCAGTAGAGCAGTAGCTACAACTTTTCTTTTGATTTTTTTTTTTTTGTGTGGATTGGAGTCCAGTCCTACAAAGCCATTTGCATTTAATTTATATCTAAAGTCTGTATTGATTTGTATGTAATACTGTATAACATTTCATTAAAATCAGTGGTATGAACATTTAATTTATTAGTGATTTGTACAATTAATTTTGCTTTCAAATATATAACATTTTAGTGTCACATAACTGCTCAGAATTATGTTATTCTACAAGAATTATATGGTCCTTTTTGTGTTTTGTTGTTTTGCTTTGGTAAAGAAACATAATAAAAAGTACAAAAAAGGAGATGATTTCTGTATGTTCTGTTATAGCAGTACTCTTCACAGTAGAGACGTGGTTTTATGCCTTCTCAAAGATGCACAAATTAAGACAGTACTACATAGATATAATGCACTAGGATATGAATAACAGAAATAAAATAATATATATGTATGAATAGGAAAGAAGAGGTGGAGTTGACAGTCTTGCTGCCTTCTTTAAACAGTTTCAACAACTTTTTATCCAAACATGTCTAGAGACAGGGTCCAAATATCTTTGAATTCATGCCACTCATATTTACAGTCAGAAGAATACAGTGGTATTCTTTGGTGGCTAACTCAGATAGGTCTGAAGGCTTCTGCTTTAGGCAAGGCATATATGCTCTTTTTTCAGTCTTTGTAAAATCATGTGCTTGGTGATTATGACAGCCTTTAGAAAATAAATAGTTTCTGGTGGAGTTAATCTATTTGAGCACTTACGTGTCATAGAAACTCCCCCAAAACAATGGCATTTTTCTCCTTCAAAATCCTGTCGTGAAAATTCCCCTCTGTTCTGATGTGTACAAAATCTTAGCAGTGCAGTCCTTAGGTTGCTGGTGTTTTGACACTGCTGCCTGTGTGATTCACCCAGATTGTTACCTTGTTTCCTTCTACTTCTCCCATCGGGCTATTAGCTCTTGTCCTTATTTTCCAATTTAAAACATTTAACATCAGATTATAATTTCTTTGTGGCAGAGGCATTTTTATTCTGTGTTTGTGCAGCATCTGTCGCAGTCAGGTCCTGGTCAGTGTCTAAAGCTTCTGGGTACTCTAACACAAATAATTTTCAGCATTGATTTGGCTGTAGGCAACATTATATTTAACTTTTGTTTCCACAGCATCCTGCCTGTTGGAGTCTCATATCGTAGGATGGCATTTTATGTCGGTTTTTTTTTTCAATTTAAATAGTGGACGTTAAAATTTTTACAACAGGATTTATAATGGAATGTTATAATAGATTTATAATAGAATGCTAACTGAACAAGCTAACAAAGCTTTGGCTTCCTAACAGGGTCAACTTAATCTTGGTAAGCTTGACACATTTCTCCTTTAATTGAATAAAACCAATGTGCTCCAATACTCTGTATAGGAAGTGTGTCTTAGAAGAATGGTGGTAATTAATTTAATGTGTCATCATCCATTTGGAAAGAGCTTTTCAGGAAAGGAGTTTAATAAGAATTTGCTTAAAAACTAGTCTTTGGAATAAACCCAGATTCTGACAGGGAGTTAACTGTTTTTGTGAATGATTGAATTAGAGAAAACAAACCGGATCTGGGTCAAACGTTTGTAAATATTAAGCTCTGTAGCACATAAGTATGACAAGGATACAGGAGAGAAATAAATTACTTGAAAGTATTTAATGGATGTTTCTTTTTGAGCTATGAACTGTCTCTCTAATGAGATGCTTTAGGACTAAGAATTTTAATTGCATACTTAGATGTACTTACATGAAGTGTGAAATCAGAATAATAGGGGGCTTGCTTGATGTACTTGGCTTGACCATGACACTTTTTGTGAATTGGTAGGATGTCCTGTCACTGTAAATTAATGTACCTTTGCTTTTGTTACTTTGCTAAGAATATATATGCTTGAGTTTTTCTGATAGTAAATTTAAATCCCACTAGTGTATACCTATATTAAATTTGCCCTTGGAATATAGAGAACAGTCTTATTTAAGAGGTTCATCAAGTTTTAATGTTTAGTGACAGCAGTTACTTTTTAAACAGCACCTAATGTAGCTTCTCTGATTTACTAAACAATGAAAATGTTTACCAGAAGTAAAATATTTAAGTATATGGAGCTCTTGTACATTTGTAGGACTGTCACCTAGGATTTAGGGAAGTGTTTTAGAAAGTCTTCCCTTTCTATATTTTTTTACACTTTGCTAATGTTATTTTGGGACCTTGACTTTCAGGAAATCTACATTTTAGAAGAAGCAGTATTAGAAGCAATATAGGTATGTTTAATTTTTTAGCAGAAGTCAAACTAGATAAAATGCCAAGCTAACAAGACTATGCAGTTTCTGGTATTCAAGGGCTTTCAGCATCGTGCAGTTTAGGTATACACATAGCTTTTATCAGAGAGATATATTTGTGTATGAATCTTCGTTATGTCCAGTTTGACATGATATATAGCTATTGCTAGGTATTATAA